AGCTCGGTCGCATCCCGCCCTCGTTCGAAGGCTCCGTCTCGCCACCGCCCTCTCTTCACTCCACTGTCATGCATTCCCGTCCGCTCCTCCTTCTGCATTCTGCATTCCCTCCCACTCTTCTCTCGAGGATACATACCGCAACTTGAATGGCGCGAAACTACCGAACCACTTATACGTCTTCAAATTCGCACAAGTACCTACCCTGCTCCACCTCCATACCAGCGCGAATTCACGTACACTTGGAAAACACGGTGGCCCGAGTCGCTACATGAATGCCACCGGCTGCGCACCTCCCGGTCACTGCTTAGTTGCTTCTCTCGCTCATCGTGTATTTCTCCCCAAATTCTCCAGGTCCGACTCGCGTGTGGCTCTGGGTGATCCTCGAAATACCTACACCTCGGGCTTTAAACAGTTACGCGCGCTCCTTCCCTCCAAAGCGCCAAACTGCTAGAAAATGCGCTTCACAATGCCCATCTTTCTCATCTCGATCTTTTCAAAGCAGAATACAATTGACTACATATGATTCCTCTTGCTCCGTGGAACTCCTTTCTCAGCGCAGTTACAGCGACATCTTCCCATGTTGTGCTTTGGCTCCTCCTATAAAAAACACTCGTAAGTAAATGCACTCCCTCAATCGCAAACAAAAGCTGGTCGAACAATTACTCACCTGCGCCTTCCCAGCCTTCACCTCCTCCGCCCTCCCAGCCGCAACGCCCTCACACGCCTCCCTATGAATCCGCCATGCACTCGGCAAGAACAGCTCCCTCCCCTCCTGTCCCTCCTTCTGCCTCCCCTCCGCATCGAGAATCGCCGACTTGAGGTGCCCGTCCCACAAATACCCCGTAATCGCCACCGTCCGTCCGCACCCCACGCACACGGCGGTCTTGCGCGTGAACGACGCCACCCAGGGGTCCTCCTCCATCTCCTCCGCCGCCCGGCGCTCGGTCGCGTTGGGCGGGCGCTCTTTGTACGTGTAGGGCATCGCGGGCTTCGGGGCTTTCGTGCCGTCGCGGACTGTTGGTTTTTTCCTTTTGGGTTTCGGGGCTGGGGCTGGGCCTGGGGCAGAGGCAGAGTCTCGCTCGGCTGTTGAATTCGAATCCACCGCTTTTCGCTTACCACTGCGTGTACTTCTGGTGGCAACCGTTGTTGAAGGTTCATTCGCGTCAGCGGGCGTTTTCTTCGTCGCCACGAACTTTGAAACTTTCCTGCTCGCCGCCGCCTTGGAACTCTGCGCACCGGTTGTAGACACGAACGACTCCGCTCTATTCATGGAGCTCTGGGTGTTGACTTTTTCCGAGTCGATAACGGAGCGTCCGGCGTCTCCCTGCTCCCCATTTACGCCGGTCTCCCTGTTTTCGACCGCGTTGTTCTCCTTGTTTTCGTCGTGCCCGCCGCTCCCTCCTCTAGAGCTACTCGAGCTGTCGGCAAATTCGTCCATCCCACTGGCAGCGAGCCACAGCAACTCCAGCCCACTCGATCTGTAAAGCGCAAATACTGGCGTCAGTCCTAGTCACATGCCACCACAATCTGAAGCATTATTGCCATACGCACCCAGTTCTCTCCCGCTCGACCCGCATCACCCTATCGGCGCTCTCATCCCGACGCGCAAACACCACATGCTCACCCTCTCCCGACCGGTCCGGCATCGCGGCATCCTGGCTCTCCTCCGGAGGGCGCATCGTCGCATCGTCGGGCTCGACCTGCATCACGAATTCCTCGCTCTCGGCCCGGGATCGCGTAGCTGCATCGCCCGCAACGTGCCGCTCCACAGGCTCCGAATGAACCAAGTTGCTGATGCTGAATTTCCACTTGCTGGTCCTGCTGTGCTCGTCCGCTTTGTTGTTCTGCAGGTCGCGATCTCCGTGGTCGCCACCGAGCTCCAAGTTGGTGTTGACATCGGGCAAGTCCTGGTCGTTCTTATCGCTGTTATTCTCATCGTTGCAATTGTTGGTCTTATCGCTCTTCTGCAGCGCCTTGGTCGGCGCAATATCCTGCGCCTCCGAGTGCCAAACCGCCTGCGGCCTGGGCGTCGACTTCGACTTTCGAATTCGTTTTGGCTTCGACTGCTGTTGCTCGCCCTGCGTGCCACTGCGCGAATGAATCAGCAATCCCTTTCCGCATCGTTCATCCGCGGCGCACAGCGCTCGGAATTGAACAGATGAACTCACCTGTCACCAGCGCCTCTCCCACCACCACCAACACCAACACACTTCCCCCTATGCGCCCTTATCTCGTCCGCGAGCGCGCCGAAGGAGTTCGAACCACTATACAGGAAGACGTGGGTGCATCCCGCCCGGGCACACGCGTTTTGGAAGGCGGGGCGGGTGTAGGCGTTCCTGGATGCGTACGCGTTTCTGAAGTTGCCGTAACCTGCCCAGGGGTCGGGGACGCGGATGTATTCTGCTGGATTTGGAGTGGGCGGGATCGATTGTGTAGTCGGCGTCAGCGTTGAGATTGGAGGTGGAGGCAGAGGTGGAGGTGCTGCTACCACCGCTGGTGGTATGTTCATCTCTGTCTCCAAATATCAGATATGGACGGCGGAGCGCGTGAAAGTGCGAGACAGAGTAAGTATCCGAGAACGAGTGGAAGGGAGAAATGGTGAGTGGCAAGATTGAAGCGCGTGGCTTTGAGCGCAATGCGCTTTGAGTATTTTGATGCCGGCAAGGTGATTCGTTCCATTGTCAGTACGCTTTGGTGGATTTTGGTGGATTGGTGACAATGATGATTTGTGGCGGTTACAAATGTCGCTTGACGGTGGCACACGGTGGCATAAAGGCTTTGTTTCGTTTTCTTCTTCGGGTGGAGTTGGATTTTAAGTATGTCTCGGTTGGTTTGGTTGGAACACCAGAAGATTTTTTGTTTGTACGATCGTTGAACGCGCAATTAACTTAGTGGCGAGGCCTGTAACGCTCATTGATCCTGGACATTTCTCATCTTCTCAGGTGAATTCCGCAAGTACAAAGGACGCGTTATTTGGTTCTCTTTATCTGATCTCGACGCGTCAGGCGATCACATGTCCGGCCCTTCTCGGTTTGAATCCCGACTTGAACCTAGCGACGAACTTCCAGCTTCCGCGTCCATCTGCTCTTTTCGCGTCCACCATCGACACGTTTTTCGGCGCGCCTGTACACACCACTCGCCTGATAGAACCTCTTCTCCTCGCGCGTTCCACATTGAGCATTGCCCTTCACCGTGGTCACCACTTCCGATATCATGGTATGGCGTCGACGAACCGTTGTTGGCGGGGTACTCATTGAGAATTTCTTCTCTACTCCGACGCAAACTGTTAAAATAACGGTGCTCGCCGTCACTCGGGTGTAGCAGAAGACCCTCGCAAACGCGGGAGGGAATCAATTCGACGGCATAGTACATAAATACAAAAGAAAATGGCCCTGCACAGGGCAATACACGCAAGACGCACACAGGGCATGGTTGAAACTCGGTCCGCGGACCGGCCGGATCCCGTGCGCGCGAGCGCGTTCTCGATATTCCAACACAAACCTATGTCTCTGATGGTGCGCTTCGCAGCGAATGATCGGAATTCTATCGAGAGCGGAGACCTGAGCAGCAGAGACAGTAAATGATAGGTAAATCGAATCCATTCTGATACAGATTGAAAATAAGAAAATCTTCGCCGTTTTCCATGCACATGGACTAAGGCTCAAAGTGCTCAACTTTCCCTCAGGAAACTTCAATGGATCATGTCAGCACTGTCCAGTAATATACTGTCGACGTCCCGCCTCATCCCGGACCCTTTTCCTGCTTCCGCAAACGAGGAGGCGTGAATGGGGATTCTCGAAGTTCTCGGAGGTAAATATTTCCGGTATTCAAGTGCATGTTGAACGTTCGAACTTACGACGCCGACACCATGGAACCTCTGGTTTCGCCTCCAACTCAGTTTATATTCCCCCTGAAATCCAGTCATCTGATACGATCCTGTATGAACGGCTTCGGAGACACGATTCTGCCCAGCCATTTCAATCTGCAGGTTAGGAGTCATCTCCAAAATGTCCTTTCCCGAATTGGGCAGCTAACTCTGGATGTTAGGCAACACATGCGAACTCGCCATCGAGCGCATGTGCTCCCTGCCTATGGATTACCCGTCGCAGAATCCATTCCCTGCCTCCTTCCCGATGCATCTCAACCTCAGTCGTTCTGTTCCACGCCGCGCGACACTCCCGACGCGCACGGCATAGTAAATGAGCGCTACAGTGCAGTATTAATCGGGTTCTTGACTATGCACACCGGAAATTAAGAAAAATCCGCACAGCTGGGAACGTTCCTAAATTCTCCAATCTTAGCAGTCAAACCAGTGTGGTTGAAAATGTACCTGAAGTGCCAAAAAATGACATGACAGAAGGTGCAGCTGAATCTTAGACAATCAAGTGAGCATCCAGAACTGCCGAAATTAGCCTGGTCAGCACCAAGTTCAGGGCGAGATGAAATCCTCAGCATCAGCAGGGGACTCAGTGTATCCTTAATCGTTACTGAAACTAGAGGTTTCAGGGCATGGTGCTGAACCTCGTGCTTCTGGACGCAGCTTCGGCCAGGTGGCCAAAACAATAAGCTTCAACTCCGCTGAAAGTGTGGTTCGAAGCTTATTGTTTCGGTCCACCTCCCGAAATGACGTCTGAACCCGTAAATTTCAGCTACTTTCTTTCGAAATTCATACTTTCAGCTGCGATTTAAATTCCACCAAATCTGCTTCGGAAACTATTGTTTTAAGGTGGCTCTGAAAATGATCCCGGATCTCACCGATTCAGCATGCCTGATAGTGCATCTGAGGCTCGGGATTTCAGCGACGATGTTATCCTTCTCTATCTCTCCCGCTTCAGGAACTTTTTCAGGTGCGTATATTTTGGTTCCGAAGCCAAAGAATTTCGGAACGTTCTCAGATCCTCCGATTTTTCTTAACTTCCGGTGTGATGACGCTCCGCTCACATGGACTTTAGCCAGAAGGTCAATTGCACGCAAAACATCGACGGAAAATCGTAAAAAGACTCTCGACCTGGGAGTCCAACCCAGCTTTCGCGCGCAGCTTCAAGTTTGACAAGCGCGTGTACTAACCGATATACTAGTCAAGAGTCAAGACATCATGGATTCTAGATTCCTGTCGTCACAGGCGCGAACCCAAGTCGCGGCAGCTCTCATCAAATTCAACAGAAATTTCGAAATGATGATAACTGTACTGTCTCGACCAACTGTTCACAGGGCGTGACGCGTGATGCAAAGTGTTCACAAAACCAAATGTTCACTCACCGAAAGATTACCGTAAAAGGTGAGCTGGGCCAAAAAAATGGGTTTTTCAACACAATTCATATGATTGTGTCCGTGACGGGTACGAGTGCCTTGACGAGTGCCCTAAAGTGTTCAGTTCACAGCTCTACGTGACGCGTGATGTGAACACTTGGTCGAGACAGTATAGTAAGGTGACGGCACGGAATCCAAAGAAATCTCGCTTCTCCCCGGACATGAAGTGTGTCGCACCACCGACCCAAAGATGGTACATGAAAGTGAGTACCCGAAGTAGATACGTTCCTGAGTGGCTGAACAGTAATCGGAGTGCTGGGCAGGCTTTACGATCGCGTTCTGCGGCAATTCCGCGATCGGTCTGCGATGGAAAGAAAATGCAAACAGTGGGTGAATCGGCATAGAGCAATGAATGATAAACTTTACCTTTTCTAGCCTGCCAGTTTTTCTGTACCAGAGCGGGGCGTGAAAAACTATAAGGAAGGGTCGGGAGACACGCGGCAGTCCGTACCGCCCAAGTATTTTCTGTAATTAGTAATTTACAAGTGGGCTTTCTTTTTTCACATCCGCAACAGGAACGAAAACCCAGTGGTTCTCCTCACTCAAGATTCTCCTCAAGAACAATGAGTCTTCAGGAACGTCTGGGCGGCATTTCTTTGCTCACCGGCGATCTTTCCATGTATAAAAGTCGCATTGTGTGCATCGTCTCAGGACTTGTTCCTGCTCTCATCATTGCTTGCACTTGCGACCTTCCTTTCTTCCTGCCGCATCTATACGCTTCCCCAACCGCCATGCGCCCTTCCACTCTCTCTACCCTCTCCCGCATTTTCGTCTCTTCTTTCGCCGTTTCCACGTTCGCCCGTCGCCGCCATCGTTTCCCGCAAGGGCGGGCACGACAGCGTCCACCATGGCCCGGGTATGAGCGTGGCGCGCAAGGGCGCGTCTCATGTCGCGGGCACGGACGACGGCACCCACCATGGCGACGATGGTGTCCACCATAGCACCGACGACACCATCGTTGCGCGTAAGGGCAGGTCCCATGCTGCGGGTACCAACGATGGCTCCCAGCGTGAGCATGTCGCTATCGAGGTCGACGATGACGGCGCCCACCACGGCCCGGACGACACTATCCTGGCACACAAGGGCAGCAATGACGACGGTATTCACCACCACGGCGCAATGCCGTTGAGGTCGGTGATGATGGTGCCCACCATGCCGCTAAGACACTATCGAGCTCGGTGACGACGGCCTCCACCACGGCGCAGACACATCCCCCGTCATTGAATGCAAGAGCGGCAGCGACGGCGGTGCACATCATGGCGCAGATTCTAGTATCGAGGTCAGGGATAACAGTGTCAGGCGTGGCGGGAACCATGGCGCTGATGACTAGTCAGTATATCAACTCAACGACAACCCGGGCGGTGGGATTCCCGCGAGCGGGGCCTTACTTGTGCATCACATTCATTTGGGTTCTGGTTGTAGAAAAATGCATTCATTCCTTTGGCGTCTTATCTCTCGATCTCACACGACTTCGAGTGAGACGGAACACCTGTTCAAGAAAACGACATAACTTCAGGATAATACGGATTTGCTTCCAGATTCCAAAAATTTGAGATAATTGCACCCTTTCAACGATGATTGAGAGAAACGAGGAATGGTTGAAATTTGAAACAGCGTGTTGGCAGCAGATTTGAATGTTCATCAGGAAACAACAATTTGCTACCCAGCTTCAAGCCAAAACTTGATAGCAGTGGTAGTGCCAGTAGCACCAGTAGCATTTGGTGTGATTGCAAGTAGCTCTTGGTAGCGCCCAGTAGCACTTTAGTCAGAGCTTAGTAGCTCCAGTAGCATTTCAGTTATGGATCAGTAGCGCCAGTAGCATCAGTAGCGTCTGGGCTGGGTGTCCATAGAAGATGGTAGTGTATGACCCATAGCTCAGTAGCTGTCAATATCAGGGTGGAGGAAAAAAATTGGTTGCAATTTGTGTTGAAGACTAATGAATAATTATTCACGGGTGAGTACATAAGGGTGTTTCAAATATGAAAATTTGACTCCCAACATCGAGTGTAATTTTTCCTAATTTCTCACTAGGAAGCACAAGAAGCCTTCCAAATCAGACAGAGGAAGTTGGAACATGCAGTCGGACACAAAGTTCCAGATCATGGTTTGATATCCAACTAATTTCTCTGGCCTATTTCATGTTCCAACTTCTTGTGAAGTTGGGAGCAAAGTTAGGGTGGACACCAAGTTGGAACTGAAGTTGGGATATTTGAAACACCCTATTGGAGTATAGCATGTGCCAATGAAACTATTTGGTACTTCACCCTTTGCAATTTGATTACTTTGAGACAGTGCTGAACTCCAAAGTCGCTTGCTGGTTGAGAGTTTACACCCTTTTTAAAAAATATCAGTGTATAGTGTAAAATGGTTTGCATTCCACTGGCCCTTTGGCATCAGTATTGTATCCTCTCACACTGAGTATAGCGAAATTTCGGTTGACCCGATGTTAGTTTCGAAAAGTGATCCGAAATTTTGCACATCAGTCGTGCCGATATCAGGGCCAAAAGTGTTAGAATCCGTTGAACTAAAAGTAAAGCCGAAATAGATGATTTCGTGATGTATATCGATGCCGCCAAACCGGAACCCAAATTTTCTTATCCCAGACACATCAATACGGGACCCAAAAAGTCCATAGATCAACTTTCCTTTCAGTATCAACAAAATGGTTAGTTTCGGCACGAGTTTTGGCTCGACAGAACCAGCACCGAAATCATTACTTTCAGTTGTGCCAAAATTAATTGCCTGGCAGCAAAAAATACATTTCGGCACAGCCCAAACTATTGCTTTCGGTTTTCATTTCGGTTCACTGAAAATCAGAACCTAAACCAGTCATTTCAGTGATGCCAAAAGGGAAGCCAATGTCTTCAGTTTCGGGTGCTACTTATATCGGGACCGGAGATCAGAAAAATCGGCTTCTGTTTCGGCGGCAGCGATGTGTGTGGCGAAATTTTACATTGTAGATTCCATTTCAGCTGTACCTATTCTACAACTTCAGGCACTGATATTGGCACGACTGATTTTCAACGTTTTGGGTTACTATTTGAAACTAACATCGGGTCAACCGAAATTTTGCTATTCTCGGTGTGTCTTTAATTTTCTCCGTTCGCGCGACGTCTTGTGTTCGATCCTCAGAGTCGGTAGCTTTATAATTAATTAATAATCAGTTCAATATTCCCTTCCCAACATTGTCGGCCGCAAATGTCCCTTGAACCAAGGCAATTAATTGTGATAAGAATACGCAAAAGGGTTCGAGAATACAAAGAAGGGTTCATTTTGCGTGTAAGGATTGCTACCAGACCGCTACTGAGCTTTGGTGGACAGCTACCAGGAGCTACCAAGATTTGGTGGACTGCTACCAGGTGCTTGGTATTTGGGGACTTGTCTAGCCGACTACCACAGCTATCGGAGCTACTGACTGCTGGATAGCCTGAGCCATGTTCTTTTTTCCTGATGTTCAGTACTTTGAGTAGCAGTTTTATGGGGATGTGTGATTCAAATAATCCACCAAGAAACCCGCACACTTGGGTTTCAGTTCAATGCGTACTTGCACAAAATTATCTGTTCTCTTAATCTTTACTGGCTCGTTTGTTGAAGCTTATTTGGACAGCTGTGCTTCCGGATCTACCTCCATTCCAATCTCCCTCCTCTTTCAATCCAGTACCCGTCGCGGCTCTGCAAAAGCTGTTCCTTGCCGTGCAGCCGCTGCCACTCCATCAAATACTATCCCCTTCCTTCTGTACTGGCGAAAGTGCTTGCTACGTGTCTTTCCCTTAATGGTGTGAAAGCTGTTAATTTCGGAGGATATGCCGCCCATTTACTGTGCGTATGTACGTGGTGTACGTGTATAACTCAGTCCTGCTGCACACGACGGCTCTGACGCCCCATCCATCCCTTTCCTCACTCGTGTAATATCTGCCTTTAACATCTTCGGTTTCTTCATTGTTGGGGGTGGGTTCCGGCAATCCAGTCAGAAACCCAAATCAATCTACAGCACCAATCATCTGACCCAGTGACGGCGCCCGTAGTCGCGGCGGAAAAGCATCGCAATTTCAACCGCAACTGAAAGCTGTTCAATTTCCCTAAAGCATCACCCATGTTCTCACTGCGGCGCAGCCAGAATCGCGCCCGAACTGCGGCCACGTATGACCACGTATGGACACGCGCAATCCCGCCACGAATATAAACGACCGGGAAGCTCAAACTGCTGGCATACGATCAATAATCAAGGCTGTCTGCAAGCTGCTCGCTCTCATATCTTTGCTCCTGGTTGTCAATTCCTCCTGTTTGTGCCATGGTTATATGCAATCGACATCTCTGGTCGTTTCGTTCACAAAACTCACGGGTCGATCACGAAGCTGTTCCAGAGCTCATTTCGGCTTTCTGCCTGGCCTTCATCTTGACGAGTCCCACCCATTCTAGCTGCGAAGACCTCGCATGATTTTCCTTGCCAACCGTAGCCCATATTAGTTCTGTCCGAATATCATATTGTTTGCCCAGTTTTCCAACTATTTCCCAATGCCGGAGCGAAGCGCAGGCATGCCTTGTCCAACATTATTCGTTCTTTTAATCTTTACTGGCTCGTTTGTTGACGCCGATTTGCTTGAAGCTGTGAACATGAACAGCTATTGCATCCCCATTTGCTTCTCTCTCTTCTCTTCCTCTCCATACTGTGTCAACTGACCCCGCTCGAGGAAATTAACCCCATACGACGTACACGTATCGCACACGTATCGCCAACGTTCTCTTTTTTGCTGCTTTCAACACTGCGCGACGC